GACGGACATTCATCGAAAGAAAATATTATGTTGATTGTTATATTAACTATGATCTTTACAACAAAGGTCGGTGTCATATTTATTCGCTTTCGTTTAATATGGAACGTATACATAACATTACGGAAAGTCTTCCTGGTGGTATGTTCATGAATGTTCGTGTTCTGCATATTTTCGGTGTTCTCCAATCTTTCGAACATGATTTCTTTGTTCAAATCTCGCATTCATTTCCATTATTCAGTTATCTGACACTCATCAATAGAATATCACAAAATGTGAAACCTGAAGAAGTATCATCGATTATTGAATATTCTCATCTTGTTGAACTTAATTGAATGGATTTACATATTGACTATGTGGAATAGTTTCTGTCCAACGTGAACACACGTCTACCTTGCCTTAGCAAGCTTCATGTTCAATATGAACATTTGGTAACTATGACAGAGAATTTTACTAGAGATATAACACGTATCAATTGTGCAAAACTCAAACATATTCATTTTGGTTATTTTGTGAAAATAGTGCGCTCGAGAGACTTTTATCTCTATTTTCCTTTATTATATCACGATAAATGTAATTAATAGATTTGTTTAATATATCAATAAATTATAATGAAAATATTTACTTCTAAAAAATACTTCTATGGAAAGATTCAGTGGTTGAACGTTTTGAATTTTTTATTTTTTCATTCAATACGATTTTAACAATGATAACAATATATGTCAAATATGAGATTGGGTCGTGTTTTTTACGAACCGATCTCAGTGAAAAAGATTCAAAACCTACCATAATTTGGTAAAGACATTAGTTTCAGACTGATGAATCGAATTGGAGCATTTGTATGTGCTTTGATTTTGAGGTACTTAAAAATAATTTTAAATTCTAATTTTATACAAAACGTGTTGCTGTAAAAATGTATTGTTTTGTTTTCAAACAAAATCTTCTTGGCTGTACAAATTTGAACGGTGCATAATTCTCATTCATCTAAGTAGTTACCATCTCATTTTTTTATTGAAGACTTTTATCGATGTGTGTACGTTTGCTCGTCAAATTTGATACGATATATATATTTTATATCGATGAGTTGATGTCTCTGAATACAGTAAAGAAGATTATTCTTGTCACTAATTGTTGATATTCTTTTCTTCTAAATCCCATGCCAGCTCTATCAAATTGTGCCCAAAAGGCTTACAAAAAACCGATTTAATTTTCGACTTGAAATCATTACACAACAATTTTAAAAGATATTTGCTGTTTTGTCGTCATTCGAAAAGGCCCACATAGGTAAAAGAGAACTCTTAGCTCTTCTTATCATAGAGAAAATTGCTTTTGTCGCTTTTATCACTTTCTTATCATATCAGTTCATATTGTGTTGTTGCAAGATCATATGGGCTGTGACTTATTTAAGTAACTGTAGTTAAATATTTTTCGAGAGAATTGACCATATTTTTCAAACAATTTATTGAAGTTTTTTTTTCATTATCGATAATACATCGACATGCACCTCAAAGCAGTGATGATATATTATTTCTGGTTTATTGTTTTTATTTTGTCTGTATCATTATGTTCTGGAAATGATCATTTTCAGGAGTCATTTCAACAAGTTCAAAAGTCTGTACTAAGTAATGAAGATGGTACAAATCAGTTGTTATCTGAAAAAGAATTGAAGTTCATTCGATTCATTTCATATTTAACCTATATGCAAACAACAACAACAAATATAACATGGAATGGTTGGAAAAAGAACTATGATGGTCCTCAACTTGGTTTAGACTCTATTAGATATGCGTTAGCTCATGTTGGTTATACAGCAGCGGCATTAGCTTATAGAACACCAAATTATCGTGAATTAGCTTTAAAAATATTAAAAGACTCGATCGAACGTATGCTGACAATCAAAGTATGGGGATATATTGATACTTATTGGAAAAAAGTACCCACATTTCCAGATCCTGTTTGCTTTGAAAATATAATGTACAGTGGTCATTTATTACAATTATTGACACTTTATGAGAGTATTTCAGGTGATTTCACATACGATATTGATGGATTCTATTTCGTATGGGATAAAGATGGAGATCCAATAGCTAAAATACATTATACAACAACAAAATTAGCAAATGTTATTTATCGCCAAATGAATGAAGAATCATCAGCTGGTGTACCATGTGAACCTGGATGGGTTTATACTATTTGTCAAAATCATCCACATCTTGGCTTACAACTCTATGATATTGTTCGTAACGATAAAACAAATTTTTCTCGAATAGCATCCAAATGGAAAGATTTTTTAACAAAATATGCTTTAGAAGATATACCTGTTTTTAAAAAAGATCGATATTTTAAAATGTTATATCAAAAAGCTACTCACATCTGGGTCCCATTTTTTGCAGCAACAGGTAATGATGCATGGGCTTTAGCATGGATGTCCTCATGGTTTGATCAGAATGACACATCAAATTTTATTTGTGATGGTTGGAAAATAATGTATAACAATAAATATTGGAAACCATCGGCAAATCATTCACGACCAGGTTGTTTTTTAGATGGTGGTGGTTATATTGGTGATCGTATGCAATTTAATCTTTGATTAGCAACATCGTTTTATCCAATTGTCGAAAAACAATGTTCAATAGAAGCAACAGAAAAATTAAATTGTACTTATTTATGGTTTGATAATAATTTTGGAACTCTCTTAGATACAGACAATGATGGTTACTTTGAATCATATTATTATGAAACAAATACAGAGTTTTCGAATTGGGTTACGTCAAATGTATTATTATCTTTGATCATGGGTGAAAATGGATACAGTACAAGACAATATCTACGAAATATTTATAATACAAAATTTTATCAAAAGTTTCTTGATCATGATCCAGAAGTTTTAGCTGTTGAATATCCATTGGTACGTGTTAGTCGAGCTCAATATGATTCAAATAGAAAACAATTGTTAATTAATTTTAATACAGAAAAATCAATGATTTTATCAACCATGTTCGAAGTAAAATATCCCAATTTAATATTACATGTTTCAAATATTACTCGTGATGGCTTGTGTGATGGGTTCGCAATGAATCAAATTTCTAATGACAGAATAAGAATAGAATATTCTTATAGCAGTACGGATGAACAAGAAACAGAATTTAACATTTCATTTTATTAGATTTTTTTTTCATACGCTTGTTTTAATTGATTATTCATTTCTTTCATTAGCCCTATCGTCTCAAGGGTGTGGGTGGGTGTGTGGGGTGTGGGTGTGGGTGTTCATTTCTTTTTACACCCACACCCCACACCCGCAGTGCTAGAGACTGATCAGTGGCCTTCTCTTCCCATTGCTTCATGTGATGTCCATTTTTGAGGATGTCGATGCTCACATAGAAAGAGACACTATTACATCTCTGATGTGCTATCTGTACAGAAAGGTAGAAAGAAAACAATCATCGTGAAAAGAGCTAACGATATTGTTCTCTCGTTTATCCACAATCATGCTGTCATCCATGAATGCGAGACTTTACATGCGTGTTGCAAATCAACTCGTGATTAATAGAATTTATTTATTAGTAATCATCAGAAATAACTCATAGTTCTATACTTCCCAAAAGAATCTGTCACAGATGCATCCTTGAGGCTGATTGCATCGACGAAGGAAAAAACCAGAAACTCGGCATTGCCACCATTGAGCACATGCTTGTGTGCATTGCCAGTCGAATGTACCTCGAGCGTTTCGTACGAGAATTTCTTCGTCTTGTCCTTCCCTTAGATCGTCATCATCCATATGCACCACATTTCCTTGAATCATAGTCGCCATGACCAGACTAACCAGAAGAAGTATGCTAAAAAGAGTCTTGTGTTGCATAGTATTCAATCCTTGAGCTGTAGTTTTTAATTGAATATTTGTGTGTATAAGATGCACTGACTACTCGTTGCCTTTATATAGTTATAAAGAAGGAAGTGGAAAGTGATTCAGCACTGTGTATCATGAGGAAGAGAACTACTTACATCGGCACAACAAAGATAAGAACTATTGTGATCAGGCATAGGAAAAATACCATCAAAATGCAAGGTTTACATCATCTGACCTTTTCTATGTTTACACTTTCTTCATCTCGTATGAGTCATGAATGGCAAGTATTAAGAATGAAAACTAAACAAATATTCTCGAAAATGCTATCTTTCAACGACATGTATTATATGTCTAATTCCAACAGTCAGACAATTTGAATACATGAGTGAAGGGTATGCTCGAAATAAGAGTGTAAATTTGGGTAGGTGATTGAGTTTTTGTGAAAATGAGATTTTCATCCATACACACAACGAAATGATGAGTTTTATTATAATTTTTTTTATTAAAAATAATTTGAAAAATTACTTTTCTTTGTTCTTTTTTATGAATAAAATATTGGTGTCGAACACAAATTTGTTCGTTCTCGCTTTATTATTTTTTGTAAAAAAAATAATTAAATTTGATTTGAATTATTATTATTCTATTGTTGTTCTATTATGAAATCATATTTTTCAATTCTTATAGTTTTTTTTTACCTATGCTCGCATTATCATCATTCTTAACCAATAGAAAATTGTTGAATATTAGAAAAGAAAAAGAAAAAATATTTTACAAGAGAATCTTCAGATAGTTTTTTTTTTCATATTTCATCATGAGAGAATTCGACCCAGTTTTCGATAATCAAATTTCATAAAATAATTCATGGTCAATTTCAACTTTCAATATTGAAAATTGTAAAATATTCAAATGATTTCACAAAACAAAGAATCAACAAAACAAAATGATGACGATGTAAAAAAAATGATTGACAATGTCTGATAATAAATGAAGAACGATAATCCAATATATTGAGTTTTCAATGACATTATTCATCAAATCGAAATATTCACCAAATGAATTGCTAACAATAAAATCTTCTTGTCGCATTTTCATCACCATTCAACAACATTTTATTGGTTATTTCAAATTCTAATGAACAGAATTTAATCTTAGCAGTTTTTCATCAAAAATCAAACAAATAAATGCGACATATCCTTATGATTGTTATCTTCCAATATTTCTCGTCTATGTTGTTAAATACTTTATAATTGGGATGAGTAGATAACACTCTCAATCGATCATATTTGACATTGAACAAGAGTTAATCGTTGATATTAAACTGTAAGCGTTTTGTTTTAATCCAGGTCTATCAAATTTTTGGGCTTGACCAAGAGACTCCTGAGTTTCAGGTGTGCCACGTTAGATTTTAGCAACAATAGGAATCAACAAAAAAAACCATAGAAGAAAAAAATAAGTGTAATAGTTAGAGGTCATAATCTTTTAATTCACTTTCTTAATAGTGAAAATGCGTTTTATTTTTATAAAATAACGAAAGAAGTCGAACCAGACGTCACCTTTTATTGGTGAGGAAATGAATGAAAATTTGAATAATCGGTTGTTCCAATTTTACAGTTGTCTTATTCTTATAAAATACTTATGCTTACTTTCGTTTCATTAGTAAATGAACAGATATGAAAATAGTAGTACAATAAAATATATTCGACTACAGAAATGTCTAATAATCTCAAAAG